AAAAAGTGGTTTGGATTGGTTTGGTTTCGAAAAATTTCAAATTGTTTTAAGTGGTTTGATTTGAAAAATTATTTCAAATCGTTCAAATCGAATTGTGTTCACCCTAACCAGAAGGGGATTAATGACTTGAAAGTAGACGTGGGCTTTGGGTGGGTCGATACGGGTATTTCAATACTCGAAACTATCCATTATATTTCGGGTATTTTGTAAATGGAATTGTTCAAGTCCTTGGTATTACTGGAATCAAACTTGAACTCGAAATCGAACCGAAACCGTCGGTTCCAGTTCGAATTCAAATCTACCCATAATATTCTTTTATACATATTTAATAAATATTTCCATGCATGCCTTTTTTATACATATACCTAATACATTACTATTCGAAAATATTTTTGCAGTGGAGAAAATTCAAATAATAAATCTTCAAGAAGCTAAGAGAATAGCTACTTGACTTAAAATAATTGAGACTTATGTGATGAATAAATTAAAACATCAAAAATTAAATTGTAGTTCGAGAACAAATGATTTTTCTAATAAATCTTATTTGATCCATAAGTAATGCATCCTAAAACCTACAATTCAATTATGAAAAACGTTTAATTCTTCCACTTCTAAAACGAATTGACATAGAACATATTAATTAGATGTATAACATAACTGTATAGTATCAAAAAATTGCAATTTACATATTGAATTCACTCTATTTGAGTAAAAAAGGAAAAAAAAAATATTTCAAAAAAGAATCACGAACTTGAAATAACAAAAAAAAAATTCAACAAACCAAGCAATGAATATATAAACTTCAATTGCCATGCGTTATAAAAAAAATAAAAATAAAATCGCTTAAATTTGTAAAAAATGCAGTGAAATAAAATGTGAAAATTACAAAGATGAACATCTTGATTCATCAACTCACATTTCAACCATAGTTTGAACTTTTTGATTCATGGAAAGCCCAAATTGCAAAAATTAACATGTACCATTATCTTGAATAAAACAATTTGACGTGAGGTGAGGAGCAAGAAAGTAGGAACAAGTATTGATTTTTTATGGTTAGATTATAGAGTTTTATACAAAATACTATCACAATTAGAGTTTTTAGATTTTATATTTTTTTGTACCAAGTCTATAAATTGTAAAAAATAAAAAATTATATAAAAAATCGTATCCATTCAGATACCTATGGTTATGGTTCAAGAACCGAGAGCCAACTATCGATTTCGATTTCTAATTTATTTTTCTGGAACCCAATCGAAACCTCTAGTTTCAGTTAAAATGCCCAATCCTATTAAAAACATAACCCTCGAGAAATTGTGAGTCCCGACATTCTTTTGAGGTTTGCTTATGGATCGACAGATGAATATACTATTGTTTAATAGTATAAAATATTGGTGATCATACGGCATTCTATATCGAGTAGAATTCTTGCTTGGACTTTGTTGTTACTTCAGGCGTATTTTGTCAAGTAACTCGAATCTTTACAATTTTGATTTTATATTAAGTTTTGGAGAAAAATGTATTTTGAAATCGTAATTTTTTTGAGAATGTATGATTAAAAAACAAATTTTTTTATTTACGTGTAATATTATTTTATTTGAGAATTTGTAGTTGAAAATAAGAGAGAAAAATGTATTTTCACGAAATCCAAACAATGGCATAGGGTGTTGTGTTCCTAAATGCTAAAATGGAGTTGTGTTCCATGTTTAGTTAACATAAGTGAAAAATGAAAATATTGGGTTTAGTTTGTTATTTCCCAAAATAGTTTAAAATTGTTTGATTTGAATATAGCTCAAAACCTTTCTAACTAAGGGGCTGTATGGGAGGGACATTAATTTGATTTTAAGTTCTTTTTTAACCATTGAGCACTACAACAGTCTAATTTCATCTTCATGGCCTGAGTGTTGTGTCAGAAAAAAGGGTAGAAAAATCAATTTTTAGTGAATGATAATCACGTCCAGACAGCCCCTAAAATGTGTTCTATTTAGTTATGAACTATGCTACTTGTACAATGAATTTGACAATATCATTGTGCAAATTCATTGTACAAGTAGTTTAAATGTTATACTTGTAAATCTTGTAAAGTACGTGGATAAAAAATGATTTGATTGTTTATAAATATTTTTAATGATCACATAAGTGCTATCCATTTATTCATCTCATTTAGAGCTTGCTTGGTAGAGATTAAAATCATATTAAAATTGAAAAACTAGCCGTTATTATTGACTTTTGTTAGACAGGTGGGTCCCAATAACGGCTATATTTTCAATTTTAATTGGATTTTAATTCCTCCCAAACAAGCTCTTATTTTTATTTATAAATTAAGCCCCCGTTTGGCACCCATTAATTTCTCATTCTCATTCTTCATTTCAACTACACATTTTTCAAATAAAATAATATTACACACAAATCTAAAACTTTTTATCACTTTTCCACCACACATTCTTATTTCTTCCATCAATCACTATTCTAAAATTTCTACTATCATTAAAATGGGTGCCAAATACTCAATTAAT